AATTTAGTTATTTTGACCAAACATTTAAATATTCATAATTACCTAATTTATGTAGGTCAATATAACCAACTATTTAAAAATAGTCACATTTTTTACTTTTATATTATCTTTAGTTATAAAGATTTAGAAATTGCAAAGCATAAAACCGTTTTACCTGGTCTTGCTTTGTTTTTGATCTTTATAAGTTTCTGTCTTTGTTTTTATATACAGTAAAAACCCGCGTATAAGAACCCAGGTTTTTTCAAGTTAGCCTAAACAGGTTCTTATATAGATGGTGTTTAGTGTGAAATTTCTTAGTTAGTTTCTTAACTTTTGTTCAAGAAGAAATGTGTTTTTTTATGTCCAATAACAGTATTCTTTGGAGGCTTCGGTAAGCAATACGTTAAAATGCAACAAATCCTGTAACTTGACTATAATTCCTAAAAAATCTACAAAACGACATAACATGAAACAAGTTCCTCTTTCAAAATGTTCACTGACAGAGGATTGGAATTTGTATTTATCAATGTCTGGCACATTGGTAGCAATAATTATAAATATATTTTTGAAAATATTGTTTTCTATATTTTGAGAACATTATTTTTCTCCTTTTTTCTAAAAAATTTGTAAAGTTTGTAAAATTTCTTAGTTAGGTTCTTAACTTTTGTTCAAGAAGAAATATGATCTTTTATGTCCAATAACAGCATTTTTTGGAGGCTTCGGTAAGCAATACACTGACACTGAAAATATTGTTTTCTATATTTTGAGAAGATTATTTTTTTCCTTTTTTTCTCAAAATAAGAATCTGTTTTAGAATTTTAGCCTAGAATGGTTCTTATGTGAAAGGGTGCTTCAAAATGACATTTATTTTAGGCTAACAGGTTCTTAAATGTTAGGTCCTTATACGTGGGGTTTTACTGTATTCGTTCATTTTAGATTTTCTCGTAAGTTGATTTTTTTTAGATTATTTTCTTTGAATAATGAAATATGGCCAGAAATTTACATGGTCACTTGGAGCTTCCCGCAATTCTTGAAAATTTCTCATCCGTTAAGTCCTTGCGATCCTCCAGATGAAGCTTCTTTGACTTCACATGAAAGGGGTCTATATAGTAATTTTGCATCTTAATTCAAGTTTTACTCTGATGATGGGCAAGCGTCCAGTAAGTAAAGTAATACGAGATCAATATTCGGATTGTTTCAACTAGTTTCAACTGGAGTTTTACAAAGGTCTTGAAAATGACAGAATTGTTAACAGGTTGAAATATGCTATCAAGTCATACCTGTACTTCATGGTTGCTGAACTAACACAATCGCATGAAGTCAACCATTTGAAAAAACCGTTAACTTTCGTGAAAATGACAGAATTGTGAACAGGTTGAAATATGATATCCAGTCATACCTGTACTTGACACTGTTAAAACTGATCAGTTAAACTAACCATTGAAAAAAGTTGTTAAATGCATCTGTGATAATCCAATTAATTTAGTTATTTTGACCAAAMATTTAAATATTCATAATTACCTAATTTATGTAGGTCAATATAACCAACTATTTTAGTTATGTATCAACCTTAAGGGTTCAAATAACCATCGCCAGATTTAAAGTAACCAATTTTCGGATGCATCTGGCACATTTATTTTTTAGTTAGATTTTGTTATTTTAACCTATTCGCCAAAAATAGTTTTTTTGACTTTAAAAAATTAGGTCATATTAACCTGTCAATCATATTGCCCAATACCAATAGTTGTTCTATTTAAAAATAGTCACATTTTGTACTTTTATATTATCTTTAGTAATAACCATAAAAATTTAGAAATTTAAAAGCATAAAACCTTTTTGCCTTGGCTTGCTCTGTTTTTGATCTTTATAAGTTTCTGTCTTTGTTTTTATATACAGTAAAAACCCGCCTATAAGAACCTAGGTTCAGTATTCAATATTAATATTATTATTATGATGAGATTATCGGTGAAATAAAGCTCGCAGCTTTGTTRTATCGGAAAACAGAATGAAAAAGACCGTAAACATTACGCGCTCATGTTCTAAAGRTTGTAAATTTGATGTAAATATGATATGATAAGTGTCCAAAATGATGGACATTTGATGGAAATGATTTACATCATATTTACATCAAACTTACAACCTTTAAAGTGCGTAATTTTTTCCAGTGTTTAGGTGTAATTGCTTAAATATTTTATTTTATTTTATTTTATTATAATATTTCATGTTTTTTTATTATTTTTTTTACGCCTTGCTCGTGGGAATGCAACTCCAACTGGAGGACAAAACAAGAGATCCTAGTTCTCAAGAGGGAAAAAATCTTTTGGCGGTTTTGTTCTCCAGATGATGCTTCTTTGACGTCACATGCATTGCGTCTATATAGTAATTTTGCATCTTAATTCAAGTTTTACTCTGATGATGGACAAGCGTCCAGTAAGTAAAGTAATACGAGATCAATATTCGGATTATTTCAACTAGTTTCAACTGGAGTTTTACAAAGGTCTTGAAAATAACAGAATTGTTAACAGGTTGAAATATGATATCCAGTCAAACCTGTACTTCATGGTTGCTGAACTAACACAATCGCATGAAGTCAACCATTTGAAAAAACCGTTAACTTTCGTGAAAGTGACAGAATTGTGAACAGGTTGAAATATGATATCCAGTCATACCTGTACTTGACACTGTTAAAACTGATCAGTTAAATTAACCATTGAAAAAAGTTGTTAAATGCATCTGTGATAATCCAATTAATTTAGTTATTTTGACCAAAAATGTTTAAAAATATTCATAAGTACCATTTATGTAGGTCAATATAACCAAGCTAGAAATTTACATGGTCACTTGGAGATAATGATTTCATCTACCCGTAATTCTTGAAAATTTCTCATCCGTTAAGTCATAAAATAGCGCGCTCTTGTAATATCCTCTATGAAGCATGTTGAACAAGAAGTCAAATCTCCACCTCAAACGAACTAATTTGTATCAGTAAAAATGACGAAAGAGGGGAAGAGTTTAAATTAAAAAAAAACAATTGTACCTGCGCTTTTTTTTTACTTACTAAAAGTCATGAAATATAAATGGGCGTTAACTGATATCTGATGTCATAATGAGGTAATGTGAAAGGGGTATAACAATACGATACTAGTGATTCACCTCACACTTTGCTATTGGACTCGACCGAGGTGGAAGTTCGCTGGTAATCGCAGAAGATACATTGAGATTTACTTCAAAAAACGGTAAATATTGTATGACAATTAACTGAAACAGACTATATATATGACTGATTGTAATATAGAAAGTTGGCTGCTGTTCAACCGTTTAAACAATAGCAATAAGGAATTAAATTCGTGGCATAATCATCCATAAAATACCTATCGCTCTAACTCGATTTTCTTCTAAGTTATTTTTTTAAGATTGTTTTCTTTGGATAATTAAATGAAGTCAGAAATTTACATGGTTGCTTGGAGATACTGATTTCATCTTCCCGTAATTCTAGAAAATCTCTCAGCCGCTAATTCCTTGAGAGATCTGTTTTTATGTTGTCTTTAAACACTCGAAGATAAAAACCGCGCGCTCGTGTAATGTCCTCTATAAAGCATATTGAAAAAGAAATCAATCCATCTTCTTAAACGAACCAATTTGTATCAGTAAAAATGACAAAAGAGGTGAAGAGTTGAAATAAAAAACCCAGTTGTACCTGTTTTTTATATTTACTAAAAGCCATGCAATCATGAAATAATGGGCGGTAACAGATATCTGATATCATAATGAGGTAATGTGAAAGAGTGATAACAATACGATACTAGTGATTCACCTCACACACTGCTATTGGACTCGAGCTATCGAGATCTCAAGTCCATAACCAACTCAGAAGAGCTACCTATTTTATATTCTCCACTTTCAAACACGGTAAGACATTTTACGACTAATCGTAGCAGTGAAAATGACGCCCAGTCATTGCATATCAATTTTTGTTTATAGATGGCGTGAGTAGCAGGAATCGGCTTTTTTTCCGACCTGTTCAAAGAGAGGGCTATTGCACTATTGTATCTGATAACAAACTCTCTTTAAGACTAGTACCTATTTAAAAGTAAAAGGAAGCATACAAAAGTGTTGTCATCATTCCTTACTAGTCTCAGGTAAAAAACCTTTTCCGATTTGACAATAAGCCTGTATTCCCAAAAGAATCGTAACGCTAACGGTTTTTGTGAATATTTAACAATTAGACCTCGAGGTCGAGTGGACTATGAGCTAATAGCCCATGAGGCCGAGTCCGCGAGGCCGAATGGGCTATTAGCTCGTAGTCCACGAGGCTGAGAGGTCTAATTGTTTTAGTTGAAACATACTAATCGGTCNTAATCAAGGTGTATTACCACATTTAGTCCTCATATTGGTCGAGTTCGAGAGTTCGGTAGAGACCCGGCAACGTTAATCAAGGTGTATTACCACATTTAGTCCTCATATTGGTCGAGTTCGAGAGTTCGGTAGAGACCCGGCAACGTTAATCAAGGTGTATTACCACATTTAGTCCTCATATTGGTCGAGTTCGAGAGTTCGGTAGAGACCCGGCAACGTTAATCAAGGTGTACTACCACATTTAGTCCTCATATTGTTGCAAAGACGTTGTTTTGTGATGTATTAGCGCTAAACACTGGAAAACTGAAAATCGCGCGCTTAAAGGTTGTAAATTTGATGTAAATATGATGTAAGTGTCCAAAATGATGTAAATTTGATGTAAATGATTTCAATTAAATCATTACAGAATTTTGGACACTTACATCAACATATTTGCATCAAATTTACAACCTTCACATTAAAGCGCGCGATTTTTTTCCAGTAATAGTCACAGCCGTCATCATAAACACAATAGCAAAATAAATTTTACATATCCCATTTTTATCAAAATCTTACTACCAATATCCAATATTTCAGTCACATGACATCCGATCGTCCACTATTTACGCATTTTAAACATCAAAATGTTTTAAATCAAGCAAGTTATTCAGTAGTAATTTATCTCTAGATAAACTTTACTCGTCTATTCATCTCTCGAGTTGCCTACTCTTTTATTTTGTATTGACCATATGAAAAACGAGCAGAAGACTGGGAATGAGAACCTTGAGATTTTTAAAAATCTTTTCACACTCTATCAGAGTATATCTAAACTAGTAAACTGGAGGAATAGTTTTATTTTCCAATGTTGAAAATCGGCAGAGCTACGAGCATTTGAAGCATGCGAAAAACGTGAATGACGAGACTGGTAAGGCCTCATTACTGATTTCACTCAAACGTTTCCAGTTTCAAACACCTGTAATTTCTGGTCCTTAATTGTATAAGCAATAAAACTTTCAGATCTTACTCATTATAATATGTTCTTCCAACGAGTAGTAATGATATATTGTATGTGGTCTATAACCTTTAAGAATACTGATCATGTTTTAATCAAATACTTTAGTCCCAGCTGCTGCAAAGAATGTTGTTCGTGGAAAGTACGGCGATTTCAGTGATGACCCACCATTCAATATGAAATTTGAAACCGTAGAGATTATTGGCAATAAATTGACCTTCCAGGGGTGGGTCGATCGACCTTTACCTGAAACGATAGAAAATATGGGAACAAAATTTTTTTTGTACACGAAGAAAGAAGGCCTTGAGAAAGAAGAAGACCTTAATGATAATGATGCCAATAAACTACAGTCTTCCAACTACGATGGTACAAAGAAGACTTTTTTGATAATTCACGGCTGGAAAGGTGAGTCAACATGTCACACAGAAACAAAAAAAAAACAACAACAACAACACAACAGCAACAAAGAAAATTTAGTCACACATAAAAGGGTTTTTATATTCTCACAATCCTACATAGACTTTTATTTGAAACGCGTTACTGTCGTTACTGTAACAAAGTTACAATAAGCCTTTTCCCACTTCAATGCGAGCGACCGCTGTTTTAGTACACAACAGACTCAATTGACTAGAGAACAAAACAAAGCCCAAATCGGAGAAATGCAAATTTGTGGGGTTATTGTGTAATGACAAAAGTTTTGCGTGTTTTCTTTTGTTTTTGGTCAGGTCTCTGCGTAATGTACTGTGTGCAATAGCAACATTGACCGGGAAGACGCGGGGGGGGGAGGGGGGGAGGGAGTGTATGGCCATGTCGTCAGTAGAAAACGAACATGATGTGTTAAGTCGAGCATCAGTTTATCGTATCCAAATGTATATTGTGTATGATTTTATTTCCAGAAAAACCAATGAAACCTGGTTCATGGCTTATAGAAATGAAAGATGCTTTACTGGAAAAAGAAAAAGATGCCAATGTCATTATTGTCAGTTGGCAAGAGGGAGCAAACTTCGTCTTACCACAAGCCATTGGCAATACTCGTTTGGTTGGAGCAATGGTACATAAACCTAAAGGTCCGTTTATACTGGCGATTTTTGTGGTCATTTCGACCCTACTAGAGAATAATGCTAAGGAACTAACTTGACAAAAAATAGAGGGTCTGAATGGGGTTATAACCGACTAGCGACAAATGGACAAAATAACAACTGACTGGTGATAAATTCAAGTGACAAGTGTATAAAATTTGCTGACTACCGACAAGAACATATTAACTGACTGGCGACATTTTCCTAAAAATAAATATTCAAAGATATTAGCTTCTTGAATACATTTTTTTGTATTTTTCAAGCAACTACATTCAAAATTTTACGTGGAAAAATAAATTTTGCTTCGGATTGGCTTCTTGAAGTTGTAATTATCCACTCTAAAACTTTGAGTGGCATCCAATTGACCAATCAAGACTCATGGATTCAACTATTGTCATTTTAGAAAGCATTCTGTTGATATAACGCACCGTTTTTGATTCAAACTTAATATTTATCAACTTTTTTTAAATAACCGACTACCGACAAATGCCAAGAATTTTAACTGACTACCGACAAATGCTTGAATTTTTAACTGACAACCGACACTGAGACCCCCCATTCAGATCCTGAAAATAAGACAAAATATAGTTTCTTTTTGAAAATCGCCGCAAACATCGCCAAGGTAAACAGGGCTTTGATTGCAACGTTGTCATGGAGAATGGAACATTTCTATTAAAAAAGAAATGCATTAAAGAGACAAAAATTGAAAACGTTTGACGTGAATGGTCTTTTTAATGTTCTGTTTCTCTATAACAACATCTTTGCAAGTAGATGTATATCCCTGGATTACGGTTTGAACTTATGGTATACGTGTTGCTTGAGCTCATTAATTTTATTGTAAACGTCGGGATTTAAAATCTTGAAAAGGACTGTTTTCAGTACTTACCGTATTTGAAGATAGGAATAAAATTTATTGATAAAACGGTTTATTTTCTTCTTTCCCAACTTGCTCATACTTATAGTATGGAGACATTATAAATTACTACGCATGCTTTGAAGTGTGAATGAATATAGCCGACTTGCGAATTTTGCCTCAGTAGTCACACACAAAGGAATCAGGACGAGACGCCGTGCATAAAGCTCAGTCATTCGTGAAAAGACAATGCTTTTTACAATTGACTAAGCTTTACGCAAGGTGCCTCGTCTTGATTCCTTTGTGTTTGACTGCTGAGGCAAAATTCGCAAATCGGCTATTGTTTTCAGTTCATTCAATAGACAGTCCAAGAGCTATCATACTATCGCTGTTTTATTCACTCTACCAATATGTTCATAGTGGTGCTCGTATTGCTGCTGTTAATAAGAGTTTGACTGGAAAAACAACGTGGGAACGAAAGCTTTAAAAAAGCTTACCGTATTTACTCGAATAGACACCGCGGCCTTTATTTCATTTTTCACGATCAAGCTGCGGCGTTTATTCGAGGACGGCGTCTATTCGGGGGCGGCGTTTATTAAAAAGACACTTTATTCAGTACTACATACGTATACCGTACTTTATATTGTATCTTTTTACTAACAAACAGTAACGAATCTCAATATATAAATGTCGTGTTCACTTTGTCTATTCAATTTATGATTTTAACCAAAGTTAAACTTCTATTTCAACATCAATGTCCTCCTTCTGGTCGGAATCAAACAGCTGCTGAGATCAAACAAGTACAGTCACTTCGAAATAAAAAAATTTCTAAAAGAAAATAAATTCCCATTGCTGGTATCATTATTTCCATATTTCCAGATGCGGCGTCTATTCGGGGGCGGCGTCTATTAATATTTTGAGCTTTAAGTGCGGCGTCTATTTGAGGGCGGCTTCTATTCGGGGTGGCGTTTATTCGAGTAAATACGGTATATTTGTCTAGATATAGTACCGTTTAATATCCAGACCTCAATTAACGTTACACCCTTATTACAATGTGTCAGGTAGCAGAGTTTATCAAGTTTCTCAACGCACAAACCAAAACAAAGCTAGATTTGTTCCACGTGATCGGGTTCAGTTTGGGGGCACAGGTCGCAGGGTATGCTGGGAAAAGGTTACAAACAGAAAAGATTGGTCGTATTACAGGTATTTAACAATTCTCAAGCGGTTATTTTTCGCTATCTGGCTCTTATTGATAATGCATGGAAATGACGTCAATAATGTGACTAAAACTAAAGTTGTTAGTCACATATAGATATTATAATGATAATTAGTAACAATAATAATTACCAGAAACCTATAAGGGACTTGAAACRTGTAACGCCCGTACATTTCTTAGTACCAACACAGGTAGCCCAGGCTCAATAACCAATATAAAATATGTCCTTCGCGCAAATATTTATTTTTTCTTTAAATAATATCATTCTAACATAAATAAAACGTATCTTACCTTCCTGGTTGAAAATACTTCGATTTTTAGAGGTTTTACGGCATTTTTGATATGCCATTGTGAATTCCAAAAGTAACCTCTACTTGCACTCGATTTTTTTGTCAAAATCCATTCTTTTATTCACATTTAACTGCTCCACAATAAAGATGAATGTGCAAGGATTCTTTTGAAGCTCTTCGTCAATGAATTGCTTTTCGGGAAGTTATTTTTATCGGCCGTTGAATACTAATATTCGGACAACTAAAGAGGACCGGAGCTGGCACAGGGGGCCCAAAAGAACAGAGCATTCTCAAATCGGATTGACTAATTTCTTATAAAGGCTATAATCAACGGGGGGCATTTCTCAACAATTTCCTTGTATTGCCTTATATTGCCTTATATTGCCTTATGTTGCCTTATAGGTTTCTGTAACTAAATTATTAAAATAGCATACCTCAAATCTTTGACAGATACTCGGAATAAGACGTAGCCATATATTGATTGTCAATATCTGATATGTATGAATAGCATAGAATAATCATCACAAATTAAAAAATACTGAAGTAAATATGTCCTTGATTACCTGAATCGCCCTTTAAATTCTCTTATCCTAGGACTTGACCCTGCTTCACCGGGCTTCCAAGGCAAGGCCACGGATGTAAAACTTGCTGAGACTGATGCCGTGTTCGTTGACGTCATCCATACGGATTCTGATAAGTTAGGCACCCCTGATAAGAGTGGAAAGTTTGACTTCTGGCCAAATGGCGGAATATCACAACCTGGATGTAAAACCGGTAGGTTTACTTGTTTAGCAAGTTTTATTCTTATCTTTTCATTTGAAAAGCTTTAGTGCTTTGTAAAAGAACCGAGAAAAATGAAATGACAATCATATCATAAATAATACATATGCAATCTTGAAAGCAATGCCATTGGCGTAGAGTGAGAGATCATTAAACCGTCCCGTGAAACAGAATCTAACTTTTTAACTTTAAAAGTGTGATACTATGAAGGTCGATGCGATTAGAGCTTACTAAGCTGTATCATTCCGAGCAGTCTGTCGTGCAGCACGACTGACATTGCCGTGCCAATGCCGTGCTATGGTCGCGCAGATCAACTCAATTTGTGTCAATTGATTCATACGTCGAGCTGTTCATGTGTTAAATTCAAACTATTTGGTTCGGCGGTAATGTGATGATCAGGCAAGACATAATAACTTACAAAAGCAGGACGTCGGTTTTATAATGTGATTTTAGACATTTTAATCACATACCAAAATTAATACTAAACACACAAGAGACTTAAAACAATACGACATTCGTTGATACGGTTTTAACCAAAAATATTTGACTTTTGTATTTTCCGACAGATGATCAATGGTGCTCGCATACACGTGCTTATAAATACTTCATCGCATCCATCAAAATCAGCGATTGTTATCGCTTAAAATCCGTGGATAATAGTCCAGAAATGGGATACAACGCCATTAAGTACGAAGGTTTAGATAAAAGGAACTTTTATCTTTTCACAAATGATCAACCTCCATATTGCAGTAAGTATAATGACAAACAACGAACAAAACGCYCATTATACATTTGACAACCTAATTAAACTCACATAAAAGCAACACACAAATTGAACCATTGTTCAATAATAAGATGCTTTGCGAATTAACAATCCCACTGCAAAAACGGACGTGTAATGGATACTCAAACAAATGAATAAAAAGTGAATCCATGCTAACTCAAATAACTGAATCATTGTTTACTCAAATATATGTGAGTAAAGGTTTTGCTCAAACGTGAGTAAATTATTAGTCAAGCCGATGAGTTCGCTTGATTTTACCAATAATTTTGTCCACGTGAAATTTTACGCATTAATTTGCGTCACGTCCACTTAAGTATTTGAGTAATAATCGAGCATGCTATGATATTTAAGTCAAGGTTACTCGTTTCTCTTCATAAATTTTTGCGCGTTCATTTGAGTTATCTTCATACTCAAAAAATAAGAAAATTGAACTACTTGAGTAACCATTTCTCATCCGTTTTTGCGATGCATACTAGACTGAGATTTCGGTCTAATTAACAATTAGACCTCGAGGTCGAGTGGACTACGAGCTAATAGCCCATGAGGCCGAGTCCGCGAGGCCGAATGGG